ACATGCACACGCTCCTGGTGTGAGTTTAAACCACTGGGTCCAGGACTCAAACCGCGGTCGATGACATGGGAGTCCAGCAACATAGCCATTATACCAACTGTTGGTCCCTAAAAAAAGTTATAGTTTAACTATAAAACTAAAGGTAAGACTGAGTCTGACTTTGAGTTTAATCAAGTGAATTACCTTCTAAAAATCTAGAACATCAGCACCCTTTCGAGGAATATAATAGAACTCACTGAATGGCATCAGGACATATTTATAAATGCATATAAAAATCACCAGTATAACATTGCTGAAGAAATAAATGGAAAGAACTACTAAAACTAAATCTAAAGAAGACCTGAGAGTCTCAGATTAGGAGTTACTTGATTTGATCCAGCCAAGTCCATTGAGAGTGCTACTGAAACCCTGAAGGATAAATGCCTATAAAATACTCACCATTGATGATTGGAGGCATTGAAAGAACGACTCCATTACTATCATAGATAACTGGGTACAAGGGTTTACTCTCTATGATATGTAAATAATGTTTAAGATGGTTGTCAGTCTGAAAAAAATTAAAAAAACATTAGTCCCTTTTTTCTAACCACTATAATTAGTTTACATACTGACCAAATAAAGAGGGAAAAGTCAGGAAAAAGAAATTAAAATAGTACCAAATTAGAGAAGGCTCTAAATTTATAAAATTTTCTAATATAAATTAAAATCTAAACATCCTTCATACAACCTCATCTTCTACTAGAACACAACTGAATTTTTCAAGAGGGAAAATATATTTGCACTAGTATGTCTTAATCATCTCAAACAAAACATAAAACATCACAAAACTGTTTAGATAAACAAGAAAAAAAATCACTTGCAAATCGGACCAAGAATAACAGCTGTTTTTTTCCAAATGATAACTCATCATTTCTATTTGCTGTATGCAATTGAAAATGACTACTGAATTCCCTTTTACTGTTGGGACTCTAAAATGCCAATAAATGGAAGGTAGATATTTTGTAAATTCTATTTCTCACCAAGAAGAGAAAAAAAAAAGTAGCTATATCTAACTGTTCTTTCTTCTTATATGAGTTTTCATTATACCCAAATATGAAAACTACAATGTGGTATGGTCTGCTTCAGTGGTTCTCAATCTTAGTTGTAAGTTAAAATCATCCTACAAGTTAAATAAGTAATAATAAACAAAACTAGACTAAGTCTTACCAGGAGGGTATTAAATTTGATTCTAAGCTTCCTAACAGTTAATTCAGAAAGATAAACTTGTTCAAAATTGTGTTCTTAAATTATTTAAGGAGCCACCAGGTGGTGTGGAGATTAAGGCAGCTGGACCACACATGGCGACTCCACGGTTCAAGTCTTAGACTCAGCAGCCTGAAAAAAGACATACCAAGTACATAAGCGTGCATGCCCAAAATCCCGAGAGGAAAATGGAGAACAGACTGCAGCATGGCCATCGCCCTGACGGCTGTTTTCTCACTTTTCCTCTCTGTATCTCTCTAGCAAGTACACGCCCTATGGCAAAAATCTAAAACAAAGATTCTTCAAGATTCCAAGCTTGGGGCTAGCCAGTGGCGTGGTGGTTAAGGGTTGTGGACTCCCACATGGTCAACCATGGTTTGAGTCCTGGACCTGGTGGCTTGCTTTCTCACTTTCACTCTCTCTCTCTGGTCCAAATAAAAATAAATAAATAAAGTTAAATAAAATAATCCAAAAAAAAAAAGAGAAAAGAGAAAAGATAGCAAGCTCCCTCAAGGTCAGATGAAGCCATATTTCTAGATTGGTGTCCAGATATTGCTATTGTACTGGAATTTCATGATTTACATAAAGCTATTATTCAATAAAACAGGATACTTACCTTATATATGTTCATCAGTTCACAAGCTGTATATTCCTTGGTCTTATTTAAGGGTCTGAATTTGATGTCTGAAGGACGCTTTGCAGTGTAAGTGAATGGCCCTGACACAGTGTCCAAATCATGAGTACCAATAGCAACCAAGGCTCTTTTCCTAAATGTTGGGGGGGAGGGGACAAAAGCAGAAGGAAGGAGATTTTAATTTCTACAGATAACATAAACTGGAGGGCTGGCAGGTGGCGTGGTGGTTAAGAGCACTGGACTCCCACATGACCAATTGTGGTTGGAGTCCCAGACCTGGCGGTTTGCTTTCTCTCCCTCCTTCTCCCTCTCCCTCTCTCTCTCCCTCTCTCTGTGTGTGTATGTGTGTGTATTGCTCTGGTCAAATTAAAAATAAATAAATAAAGTTGAGTAAAAGAAAAAGAAAAACATAAACTGTATGTTTAAAAATTTTATTTTAAAGGCTTTCCTTAAATAGCCTGTTGCTACTATATGGCATTTTAGTGGTACATAATAAACAAATTCTCATAATCATTTAAAAAAAGTAATGAGAAATTATAAAGTTACTTAAAATATGTTATTTCAGTAGCTGAAGAAAATTCCTTGCCACTATGTTTTCCCAGGTATTAGGTTACTAGAACATTTACGTTTTTAAAAAAAAGAATGATTTATTTAATGTTATTTATCATTCCAATTTGCCAAAGGGCACACCACTCACCAGAGAGAGAAAGAGGGGAAATGAGAAAGCAAGCTGCCAGGTCCAGGACTAGAACCATGGTTGGTCATGTGGGAGTCCAGAGCCTTAATCACCACATCACCTGCTGGCCCACTAAAACATTTTCAAAGTCGACATTCCCTTACCTTCTTCTTTAACCTATTTCTTCTTAATATTCTCAAGTTAGTATAAGTATTTGATTAAATAAGGAAAAACTACCAAGTTGCTGGGAGTTTTCTTGAGTTTTTTCTATTTTCCTCAATTTTACATCATATAGTTGTATTACTTAAGCAGTGAAAAAAATTTAGTTTTCTTAAAGTTTACAGGTTTACTTCATATACTTAAAAGTTTACTTTAGTACATAATGAATTAATTTAAAATTAACTTTAATATATAACAAAAGTTCAAAAGTTATTAATTGCACTGTTCTAGTTTATCCACAAGGATCTGAGGTAACTCAGGAATTTTTTTAAAAGGTTTTTAAAAAAGAATTATTTATTTAATTCTATTTGTTATTAATTAGTATTACTATTATTATTATTATTATTATTATTATTATTATTTGACCAGAGAAAGAGAGAGAGAAAGGGAAAGTGAGACAGCAAACCACCAGGTCAGGGACTCAAACCAAGGTCAGCAATATGGGAATCCAGCACCTTTAACCACCACACCACCTGCTGGTCCTGTAATTCAGAAATTTACCGCAAGCTACAAAGTGAAAGAGAAAAATACAGAAGCAGGCCACTCATAGCCTAGTGGTTATGGCAGCTGAATCTCACATGACCAACAATAGTTCGAGTCCCAGGAGTTTGGAAACCACTCTGGGTGCCTGTATATGAGTGCTCAAAATCCCAACGAGATAAAGAAATAGAGGAGAACAGATTGAAGTGTGACCTCGTTGCACTGGGGGTAGGGGGATGCTTTCGCTCTCTACCCCCATCTTTCTTTCTCCCCCTCTCTCTGTCTCCCTCTGGTAAATGCACACCCTCTGGCAATTAAAATCAGTCAATAAGGAAGGAAAGAGAAGTAGGGATATAAAACAGAGCCAGGAAATGCTAACATTAAATCAAATCTAAAGGCCAAACTCTTACCAGGGAGGGTAAACAAATCTGGCTCTAAGCTTAACAGTCGATTCAAAAAGACAAACTTGGTCAAAATTTGTGTTCCCAAGATTCCTTAAAATTACTCTAAAATGTATATACACACATACTTGAGAATTTATCTTTAACCACATATACTCAAAACAAATTACGCATAATACTAAATTTTGTTCAACTTCCAAGACTGGTGAACTAGAATTTTAACAAACATATCAATAAACTGAACAGAATAGCTGACAAGCAAAAATAAACCTTACTTTACTTCACTCAATCAGTTATATGCTCCGTGAGTTATAAAGAAGATGATAAACCCAGGGCCAGGAGGTTGTGTGGAGGTTAAGGTGGTGGTCGACCACTGTTCAGGTTCTGGACCTGGGGACTTGAAAATCACATGGGGCGTGTGTGCGTGCATGCCCAAACTCCTGAGAGGAGAAGCAGGGAGAAAGACTGTACTGTCGCCATCCCCCTAAGGGGTGAATGCTCACTTTCCCTCTTACTGTCTGTCTCCAGCATAAACGCCCTATGGCAAAGACAAAAAGAAAAAACAAATTTGACAAATCCAAGGATAAGAAAGTCTGGGTTCTGTGTTTACTTAAACAATAATATTGGCCTCTCAATCTTGAAACAGTACCTCAAAACATCACTAAAATTAAAACTTCAAATCAATCAAATATGTTTCAAATGAATCAAAGAAAAACAAAAGGTAAATATACATACTTGAAAAAGGTATCTTTAAACTTACTCAAAGAAAATATAGGAGAATATGCTTATAATTGTGGAGTATACCTGAATGATTCCAAAGGTCAAAAGATAAACTGATAGAAAAAGATTATAATACATGAACAGAAAAATAGTTTAATTTCTCAAATATAGAAAGCTATGAAAAAAATAAAAATAGAAATCAAGACATTATCTATCATATTGGAAAACATTTTAAAGTCTTCCTTTAAAAAAAAAGCCATACATAAAAGATGAAAGAACTGAGAAAAAAAAAACTGAGTTGCTGTCAATTGCAAAGATCTAGTGAGATCTAGTCTAGCCAAGTGTTTAGGGTCAAAGTCTATAATAGGTAAATATTCAATAGTTTTTGCCTGCAGGAACAAAAACTACTTTTCAGAGAAATTAACAGAAGCAGGAGCTTCTTCACTACAAACATGAAAAGAAACATAAAATGTAACTCATACTCCAGACAAAACCAGTTGAAAGAAACCCTTACTAAGATGTCCCAGCTTTTTTTTTTTTTTTAAAAATTATCTTATTTAACTTTACTTATTTATTTATTTTAATTTGACCAGAGAGAAACAGAGCTAGAGAAAAGTGAGAAAGCAAGCCACCAGGTTCAAGACTCAAACCATGGTCGGCCATGTGGGAGTCCAGTGCCCTTAACCACCTTGTCACCTGCTGGCCCCAAGATGTCCCAGCTTTTGACATGGCCACACTGATTTTTAAACCTATTACAAAAAAAAGGGGGGTCAAGAATTATGGGAAGGTATACACATAAATAGAAAGGAAGTATCAGAAGAAAGAGGTACTACACGCAGCAGTGGTACAGGCAGAAGAACAACACTCTGCAGTGCTAAAGCTACGTGGAAGAGCACAGTTTAGATCCTGGGTTGACCTGGCACAAGTTATGTGCATACATACACACATCTTTCACCCTAGCTGACTGGAGGGCAGGAGCAGGGCTGTGATATGACAAGATTCTGTTGAGGGTGATTGTTTATCTCTCCCTTTGTCTCATGAAATAAATAAACTTCTAAAAAAAGAGAGAAAAATTATTTTAAAGAGGAATTAAATGGAAAATAGAAATAGGCAGTTAAAAAAAAAAAAAAAAAGCACAAAATGCACTGTTAATTTCCAGCAAAGACAGAATAACATAGATTTACTTTTGCCTGAAACAACCAAGAAATGAGCAAAATATATGAAATAATAGTGTTTCGAAGACTGGACAGCAGGCAATGAAGGGCAGCAATTTCTAAGAGACAGGAAGCAAATGAGGCTGTTTCCTCTGACTGTCCCAGCTTACTGCCTCCACAGCGTTTCCAGACTGCAAGATAGGAAAGAAAGAGAGCTGAGAGTCTAGGCCGAGATGGCCAGAGTACACTGAACAAGAGCACTGGGGAACACCAGAGAGCTACACAAAGAAAGAACTCAAAATACACGAAGGGTCCTTCTCAAATATTAATGAGCTAAGTATTAATCAACACATGGGTGAAGAACAAAGTAACCCAATCTCAGGAAAAGAAGCACTAAGAGGATTACAGAGAACAGCGCTCCATGCTCACAGAGACTGAAAACTTCATTGTTACTGTGGTAATATATGGAGTACAGAAAAGGGCTTTGCTTAAGCAGTAAGGACTAATTGGTCCTAGAAAGAGCACTACTTGATCATTGGAAAATGGGAAAATCAATTAAACCAAAAATTGATTCTTTGAAAGATCTATAAAACTAAATCTTGAGCTATACTGTAGGGGAAAAAAAGAAGACACAGAAATGAAAGAGGTGACAATACTACAGACACTATAGAAACTAAAAGGGAAAAGAAACATTATGAACAGCTTTACACCAATAACTCTGATAACTAAAGACAAAATGGATATGTTTCTTGAAAAACATTAACTTCAAAAGCTCACTAAAGTTAATTAAGATTTACTGACAAAAAAGGACTCCTGGCAAACGTGAGTATTGGGATGTGTTCTATTCTTCCCCTTAGAAAAAGCTCATAATTTCCAGAAATACCAAGTGTTAGGAGCTTAATGTTAAATTAAGTTAGGAAATGCCTTCTGACTTAGATTAAAATAGATTCTTAAAGTTTGTCCAGAAGAGATAAGCTGTTTCAACCATTTACTAGCTACACCTATTCTTGTCAGAAATCTAATTTTGAAATTATATTTAAATTCTTGTTTTGTTTAATAACAACATATTAACACACTAACATATAAACTCTTTGCTCATAACATATAAGCAAAGTTGTTATAGGAAAAAACCCTTTGAGCTTAACCACAGGTGTGATTTTAATTTTTTTTTATTTTACTTCTATTTCAATTAATTATTTTTTTTTCTTTTGCCATAGGACAAGTGCACTCGCCAGAGAGACAGAGAGAGAGACAATGAGAGGGAAAGTGAGAAATTACTCCAGAGAGGATCGCCATGCCACAATTTCTTCTCCATTCTCTTCCTGGGATTCTAGTCACACACACACTCACACACACACATATGTGGCCTGATTTTCAAGCTGCCAGGTCCACAACATGAATTGTGTCAGTCATGTGGGAATACAACACTTTGACCACAATGCCACCTGGTGACCTCTATGATTTTCATTTTAAATAATTTTTCGCCAGGGTTCTCCCTCTACTCTGTCCTTTGACTGTCCTATACCCACAAGTCACAATTACTCTCTATAGTTTAGTGAACTACAATTATTTAAAAAATAAAAATGCAGAACCAGCAGGTAGCATGGTGGTTAAGGCATTGGATTCCACATGGCCAGCTGTGCAGTTCCAGTCCTGGACCTGGTGGCCTAAAAGTCACACTAGGTACATATGCGTGTGTGACCAAAACCCAAAAAAGGAGACTATAGGAGAAGGGATTACGGTGTCGCCATAGGGGGTGCTTTCTCACTTTCCCTCTGTGTCTCTCTATGGCAAGTGCATATGCACTATAGCCAAAAAAAAAAAAAAAAAAAAAAAAAAACAACTAATAAATAAATAAATAAATAATTAAAAACACGCTGCATTTTCCATGCATATATCATTTATAAGCAGTAACAAATGTCTTATCTGCTAAAGCAAAGTTAAGCTCTTGTTACTCTCATGCATCGTTAATGGAGAAATGTTTTGAAATCTGCAGAGAAGGAAGAAAAGGAAAGATGGATAGAGGGAGGAAGGTGGAAGGAGTAAGAGAAAATGGGATAAGAAGGAGAGTGAGAGGGGAGAGGGCAAGGAGGAAAGAAGATGCAACTACAAACCTGCAAATATTCTGATGTAACTTCTCTTGAAGTTCGATGAAGCTGTCATATCGATCTTTAGTAAACTTTATATTTCGGAGAACTGCTGCTACTGCAAAAGGACGTACTTTAGCTGTCTGAAATTTATAATATCATTAGAGATAGTAAATTCAAAGCTTTTCGTAACAAAAACAGCTTGTAATAGAAGGGTAGCTGCACACCTGACACTGTGGCAAATTTTCATTAAAACAAGTATATATTCATTTATTCAATCAACAAGTAATAAAGTAATGAACAAGAGACAAAGCCTCCACCCTCATGAAATCCGCAATTCAGTAAGATTTCTGGCAATGTAGCAATTAAGAAAAATTATTCTTTAACAGTTTGCACATAGTTCTTGGTTTTTCCAAATAATCCTCCCAAAATTTAAACAATTAGATCTCAAATGTTTTTAAATAAGCATTTGACATTATTTTCAAAATCATTAATAGAAAACAGAAACACAGTTATTTCTCAGTTCTTGGTGAAAACAAATTTTAAGAGCTAAAAGCTAAATACAAATCCATTTCTGCAAATAATCAAATAAAATGTGATTTGGCAAAAGGTTAGATTTCTTTTTCTTTCTGACCTTAGAGATATAAACTGAAAAGAAATTTTTTAAAAAAGAAAATAATAATTTATACTATTACCTGTTCTGTCATAACCAATTTCTGGATTTCTCCACTAGGCATAACCCGTTTATACACTGGAGCTTTTATCCTAAAATAATATTAAAATGAAATTACTCAATTAATCAGAATATTTGATAAGTTAATCATATTGTATGCTGTAACTATTAAGTATACAAAATGAACAAAATTAGGACAATGCATGGAGCTACAACAAGTCAAATTTTGGCTGAAAGTTAAAAAAAAAAATTAATTAATAAACTTTTAAAAAAGGCCAGTCACCTGCTAGCCCCATTTAATGTTGTTTTCCTTTTTTTTCAAGAGGTTTTTGCTATAGGGCGCATGCGCTCACCAGAAAGACAGAGAGAGACAGAGAGACAGAAAGCGAGAAATCACCCCTCAGGGGAGATGGCCACACCACAATCCCTTCTCCTCCGTTCTCCTCTCGGGATCTTGGGCCCAAGACTCAAACCACAGTTGACCACATGGGAGTCCAGCAACATAGCCATTATGCCAACTACTGGTCCCTAATTTTTTTTTTTAACTGGCCATTTTTTCTTGTTCTGTTTTAATTTGCTAACTTCACAATTGAGTCTCAGACCTGGTAGCTTAAAAATCACAACAGATGGGGCTGGCAGGTGCCATGGTGGTTAAGGGTGCTGGACTCCCAAATGGTCAACTGTGGTTCCAGTCCTGGACCTGGCAGTTTGCTTTCTCATCTTCCCCCTCTCTCTCTTTCACTCACTATGTCCCTCTTTAGTCAAATTAAAATTAATTAATTAATTAAAGTTCAATTAAAAAAAAATTTTTTTTTTAAAAATCACTCCAGGCATGTGTGTACACATGCCCAAAATTCCAAGAGAAGGGATTGCGATGTGGCTATCCTCCCGAGGGGCGATTTCTCACCTCTTTTTCTCTGTCTCTCTCCAGAAAGCATGTGTGCCCTATAGCAAAAACCTTATCAACAACAACAACAAAAAAAGATTAACCAACTTTCTAACATTTAAAGTTGCCCCAAAATGATATAGGATACCTTATGGTATGAATTTCCTACCACTAGGGTCCCAGCTATAAAAACATTAACTAAGTAATAGTTTAAAGGGTATGTAGACATCAACCGGGTGCTCAATTAGATCACCTTTAAGTTTTATTACAGCAGTGAGATTCTGAGCTTCTGAAAACAAATGGGCTTATTAAAAATTCTAGGCCAGCTCGGAGGCCTGGTGGTTAAGGCAGCCACCTCCCACATGGCAACCAAAGGCTTGAAAAATGTAATGGGCACGTATGCCTGTGTGCCCAAAATCTCAAAAGGAGAAAAAGACAGGAGAAGGGATAGCGCTGTAACCATTCCCTGTGAGAGGTGTTTTCTCCTCTTCCTCTCTCGATCTCTCTGTCTCTCTCTAATGAGTGCATACACCCTCCAGCAAAAACAGAAAAACAACACACACACACACACACACACAAAACACAAAACAGACTCCTGTCAATGCAGTGCTTCTCAAATTTCAATGTGTCTGGACCAGTAGGTGGCATGGTAGTTAAGGGTGCTGGACTCCCACATGGCCAACTGCAGTTTGAGTCCCAGATCTGGTGGCTTGCTTTCTCACTTTCGCTCTCTGTCTCTCTCTCTTGCTCTCTCTCTTTCTCTTGCTCTGTCTCTCTCTGGTCAAATTAAAAATAAATTAACTAATAAAATTAAATAAAATAATTCTTTTTTAAAAATTCCACGTGTTAACAATCAGCAGGGAGTTTGTTAAACCTCAGTTTCTGATTCAACAGGTCTGGGTAGAATCTGAAGTTCTGTACTTCTGACGATCTCTCGGTGGATGCAGACTCTGCTAATCCATGCACCACACTTGAATAGCAAAGAATTTAAGTCACTTTCCTGACTCTGTCTAATCATAAAAAGTACATGAAATACCTACTAAAAATACAGATTGTGATCAAGTGGGTTTGGGAACCATACTCTAAGGGGTTATTGCTGACCCTGAAATAGTAGATTGTTGGGAAAATCATGACAATTTTTTCTACGTTTTTCTATGTAAAAATGCATCATGACTTTCCCTAAAAAAAACCAATATAAACATCTGATCACCAGGTAAGGAATTAACAGGGTCAACCCTCAAATTTTAACTAAATAATCATCTTTTCACCAACACCTATCATTCATCTGAAGCCTCAGTTTCAAAGCCTAGTCCATCAACTAGAAGTTGTTATTCTTTCAAAGCCTAGTCCATCAACTAGAAGAAGATAATACATAAGCAATCAAAAACAAAAACAATTATTCTTGATAGCTGTTATTTTCTTCACCTTTTCACTTTATATATTCATCATGTTCTTTATCTACTACAAAGAGTAATAAGGGATCTTAAATTAGGAGACTGAAACTAGAAAGGCCAATTAACCCACCAGAGATCTTAGCCATCCCTAGATAATCAACTTGACAGTTAGCAAGTCTACTCCTGAGCTTCCTTAAAAGAATGGAATTCTCAGAATTCTTAAAAGCCTATAAAGTATTGCTATCTCTACTTTTCCTCCCAAATTCTAACAAATCTAATGAACAGTCCATTCTGATAAGATTACTGAGGGAATTCAAACAAATCAGCTATAGAATTTTTTTTTTGAGAGGTTTTTGCTATAGGGCGTGTGCGCTCGCCAGAAAGAGAGACAGACAGCGAGAAATCACCCCCCAGGGGGGGATGGCCACGCTGCAATCCTTTCTCCTCCATTCTCCTTTTGGGATCTTGAGCACACACACACACACACACACACACACACTTCCGTCATGAGTTTAAGTCGCTGGGTCTGGGACTCGAACCGTAGTCAACTACATGGGAGTCCAGCAACATAGCCATTACATCAACTGCTGGTCCCAGCTAAAGAATTTTTTAAGAATCGATAAAATCATTGACTTCAAGTTTTAAAAAAAGCTTCTAAAATGAGGCTATAACTTGATAGTTACATAAATTTTCAAATGACTACAAACTACATGAATCTCATTCTCTAACCTTCCTTCTATGCAGACCTAAAGCTGTGACTTGTACAAGTCTTTTTCCTAGAACCTTAGATACAATTGCTAATACTGACAGCAATGGAAGAGAAAAGACCCAACTTAGCAACGTATTTAATAATATATTTTCTTACCTTTCTTTGAAAACCTGAAGTCCTCGAACCAATCCTTCCAGACATAGGAGATCGTATCTATTGGCAGGGACATCAATTTTGTAAAGAACAACATCGGAGGCCCCCTGTGCCTTGACATTGCCTTGTTCCTTACTTATTATTTCCTTCTCAGAAGTCTGAAACAGCCAAAAAAAAAAATTTAATAAGACTAAGTAAATCTAAATTTGTAAAAAGTGGTCGTTAGCCCAATAAGGCAGTATTTACATAAAATGTGTTCTTTTCTGCAACAAAAACATGAGTCTGTTACATCCACAACAGAAACATGAAATACTCAATGCTATAATCACAATAGACAAAGGCTGATCTGAGGCGTGGTAGCACAGGTGGCTGGATTACACATGGGCAACAGCGCAGTTTAAGTCCTTGGACTGAAGGCTTGAGAAACACAAGAGCTGTGTGTGCGTGTGCGTGTGTGTGTGTGTGTGTGTGTGTGCTGGCCTGCTCAAAATCCCGAAAGGAGGAAGAAATGGAGAAGAGACTACAGCATGACCAGCCCCCGTGGGGGGTGCTTTTGCACTTTCTCTTTCTCTGTCTCTCTCTGGTGAGCACATACACTCTCTGGCAAATTAAAAAAATGTTTTAAGGAGGAAAATATCCCAGTTTTCACTAAGTTCAGACATCTAGCACCCCCAGTCATTCTAAAACAACACAAATTTGACTAAAGCAAGGATCAGTAAAAAAATACTCCACTAATCAAATCACGCCTGATACCCCTTTTTGTCAACAAAGTTTTATGGGAAAACAACCAGACCGATTAACTTACACATTATCTACTTTTACACACCGCAAAGGGTGAGTTTTAACAGTAATTACATACTATACAAAGCCTAAATTATCTGCTATCTTGCTCTTCCACAGAAAACGTTTGTGTATCCCAATCTAAATGAAAATGAAAACACCACCAAGAACACACAGAACTAACAACAAAAATGTAAAAGAGGTAAAATAAAGATGATTCACCAAATAAAACAAACACTACTTCCTACTGGACAATGACTGAAAACTAAATCCTATGGTCCCCAGATCTAGAAGCAACATGAGAATGTGAGTGGTAATATAAACACAAACAGAAAACATCTGAAGAGATTGCCAGAAGTTGTGGTGAAAATCAGAATGGTTAATGTAATAAGTGCAATGGGAAGGCACCTAGTAACAGAAAGGTATAGTGCAGCAGAATATGGGCAACCAGAGGAAGAGTGAAGACCCACCACTAGAATAATTATTTGTAATGTAGTGACAATCACCAAATATAATAGAGAATAAAAGAGTTTCTTAAAGATAAGCATTGCCTGGAAGTTCAATTCTGTAACTTAGCAACAGCAGGTGGTGAAGACGGTTAAGGCACTAGACTCCTACATGGCTGACCATGGGACCATGATACTTGAACCATGGTCAAGTACCAGACCTGGTGGCTTGAAAAATCATGCCAGGTACACGTGTGTGCGCATGCCCAAGATCCAGAAGGAGGATGGAAGAGAGGGATTGTGGCTATCCCCACTGAGGGTGATTAATCACTTTCTCTCTGCCTCCTGTGAGCGCAAGCACCTTATGGCAAAAACCTAAAAAAACATGGGACCAGCAGTTAGTGTAATGGCTATGTCGCTGGAGTCCCATGTAGTCAACCACAGTTTGAGTCCTAGACCCGGTGGCTTAAACTCACACCGGGTGCATGTGCGTACGTGCCCAAGATTCCGAGAGGAGAATGGAAAAGGGATTGCAGTGTGGCCATCCTCCCTGGGGGGTGATTTCTCACTTTCTGTCTCTCTCTCTCTATCTTTCTGGCGAGTGCCCGTGCCCTATAGCAAAAACCTCTCAAAAAAATAAAAAATAAAAAAATAAAAAACTATTCTTTATGTTTACTATATGTAAATAAATATATTTAAGAAATTCTCAACCAAAATGATTAAAAGTGATACTACAATTGGTAATGTTACCCTATAATTGTTTGGAAACCTCACTTAGCCAAACTCTACCACCAATAATCAGCTAAAAATACTGATTTCTATCAAAATGTTATGATTTTATTTGACATGATGCCCTCCCACTGCCACATAAGTATTTAAACTATTGCCTAAATTAAGAGTCATAATCTATAAATGCACAGAATGCAGAAGAATTCACTTTTGATCACTTAACACTACATGCTCAAGTCATACCCGAGGAACCACAGGTACACATGGTGCTAGACTGTGAAAGGCAGTGCCAGGCTCCAAAAAACACCTACCCTGCGCATCTTGAATGAACTGGGTTGTCAGGAAAGTCATGATGCATTTTTACATAGAAAAACATGTCATGAGGACCAGCAGATGGTGTAATGGTTACATTGCTGAACTCCCACATAATCGACTGCAGTTCGAGTCCCAGGACCCAGCGGCTTAAAATTCATACTAGGAACGTGTGCATATGTGCCCAAAATCCTGAAAGAAGAATGGAAGAGAAGAGATTGCAGCATGGCCATTCCCCCTGGGAGGTGATTTCTCACTTTCTGTCTCTCTGGCGAGCACACATACCCTATAGCAAAAATCTGTTTTTTTTTTTTTTTTTCTTTAGAGCCTTGCATGCTTGCCAGAGAGACAGAAAGTGAGAAATCATCCCCCAGAAGCGATGGTCACACTGCAATCCCTTCTCCTCCAGTCTCCTCTCAGGATTTTAGGCATGTATGCACACACACTTGTTGTGAGTTTTAAGCCGCCAGATCCAGGACTCGAATCACACTGGGAGTCCAGTGACACTACCATTATGCCACCTGCTGGTCCCACAAAAATCTCTCTTTTAAAAAAAAAGAAAAAGAAAAACATGTCATGACTTTCCTTACAACCTAATAGGAGGCAAATTTTTTTTTTAACCGGAGGCAGGAGCAGGAAGGGGAAAAAGAGGAGGACTTTTAAGGAGAAGACAGGAGGAAAGAAAGGAGGAAGAAGAGGAAGAATTACAATTTAAATAATATTCATTTGACAAGGTAATAAAATTGCTGTTTTTCAGTGAAGAAAGCTGATCTCACAAAAAATGGCAGACCACAGAAAATACATATATGAAGATGAAATAATATAATAACCAAAGAAATGAAGACATCTGAATAAAAAAATAACCAAATCCTACATACACACACACACACACACACACACACACACACAAGACAAAGCAGCCTAATCTTTCACTTTCAGTACCTTGATTTATGCAAAGAACTTATGTGGAAGATAGGGTTTGACAAAAGTTTTAGAGAAATCTAAGACCACCTAAATTTCAGAGCCAGAAATGGACTGATAACGACCATATAACCAAAACCATTATTTTGCAAATGAAAAAGAGGCTCAGAGAGACCCAGAGAGGTGAAGTCATTGTCCAGTATCACAGGGCCAGTAAATGTTGGAGCAGTTCAAGTGTTCTGCTATCCAGTCCACTGCTCTTCAGTATTACAGTGCTTCAAACATAATTTTGAGATCTAGTAAAAGTATTAATAGCAATTTACAAACTATAGAAATCTTGGCCAAATTCCCAAGCAAACAGATGCTCACTAAAATAAAGATGATCTTTCTGTAGCATTTGTAAACTAGCAGTAAGGAAAGAAGGGCAAGATGATAAACATTTTTTTGTTAGCGTTAAGATTTTTTTAGGGGTAACCAGCAGATGGCATAATGGTTACGTGGCTAGACTCTGCCATAGTCAACCACGGTTCAAGACCTGGATCTGGCGACTTAAACTCATGTCGGGCACATGTGCATACGATGCCCAAGATCCTGAGAGGAGAACGAAGAAGGGAATGCAGCATGGGCATCCCCCCGGGAATGATTTCTCACTTTCTGTCTCTCTGGCGAGCACACACACCCTATAGCAAAAATCTCTTAAAAAGATTTCTGTTTGTTTTTTAATTGGTTATAGGGTACATGCCTATAGCAGAGAAGGAGGAAGAAAGTGAGAAAGAATCACCCAGGAGGGATGGCCATGTTACAATCCCTTCTCCTCCACTCTCCTCTCAGAGTTCTGAACACGCACACACATGTACCTGGTGTGTTTTTCAAGCCAATGGGTCTAAGATTTGAACTGTCCCATCAGCCACTGGCACCCAGCCACCTTAGTTATCATACCACCAATTGGCTTGGCCTGAAGAATTTTTAACTTTATACCTAAGACAGGGTTATAAAACACTGAATATATCAGGGTGATGGAAGCCTTAAGAAAAAATAACCACCAACCAAAGCACTATTTTTTTTTTAAATTATAAGCACAATGTCTTTAATTTAAGGGGGGGGGGGTCTTCAAAAAGTTCATAGAAAAGCAAATTATGAAAAAAGAAAACTATACATGGGGAGCGAGCAAATGGCCTGGTGGTTGAGGCACTGGACTCCCACATGGCCAACTCTAGTTTGAGTCCTAGACCCAGAGGCTTGCTTTCACTTTCCCTTCCTTTCTCGGTCTCTCTCTGGTCAACTTGAAAAATAGCGGTCACGAATAAAATGAAATAAATAAATCCTTTCAAAAACTGAATTAAAAAAATTATACATGGACTTCAACTTTTTCTGCACCAAAGTAAAGTCATATTTTAACTCATTTTTTAATTAACTTATTGAAGTTCCCTCATATTCGGATTGAGTATCCTTAATCCAAAGCAGTCTAAAATCCAAAACTTTCTGAGTGCCAACAGGACAACACAGTAAAATAATTCATACTGATCTCATGACCTCAGTCAAAAACGACTGCAATACATAACTGTCATATAAAATTACCTTCAGCCTATGTGTATAAGGTATATATAAAACCTGTATGAATTTCTTGTTTAGGCTTGGCTCCTATCCCCAAGATAACTCATTGTGTACATGCAAATATTCCACAATCTGAAAAATATCCAAAATCCTTCTGCTCCCAGGCATTCTGGATAAGGAACACTAAATCTAATACAAGCATTTTTAACAATATATTTGTCAAATAAATAGCCCACCCACACTACTTTTAAAATACCTTAATCATTATATAACCAAAAGTCTAGGCGAATGCCTCATCATTCTCTCACCAAGGCCCACAAATGTATCATCAGCCCCTGAAAAATGAGCTTATTCATGAAATATTTTAAAAATACACAAATATCCAATACGTACAATTTCATCGAGTTCCAGGCCAAATTCAAAACACAGTTCATCAAATTCTTCATCAGCTAGGGGAAGAAAAAAAAGATTTTAAATTAAATTTTAATCTAGTCATAAATATAAACTGTATATAGACTGCATTTTCTCATTATTAACAGCCTATTAACTGTGTAAACAGCACACTAAATATCAGATATTGCATGTCACCATGTAAAAGCAAAAGAGCTTGATCAACAAGAGAAAAAAAGAAAAAAAAAAAACTAATACAGGGCTGGTTAATCTATGCTAACATCTACTATAGGATTAGGTTACCTGTACTGGGAAGTTTGCATATATACTTAAAAAAAAAAAAAAAACACAAAAAAGCCTGTTAAGCAGGGATTAAGTATAAAGTAGGCTCCAAATCAGAAATGGAATGTCATTTATTGAGTCATTAGAAAAATCATGACACACCTTTACACAGAAACATATGAAAAAACACATGACTTTTCTGACAACCTACGTCTCATCATTTGAAGTTCTCTCAGGTGGCTTAACACTTGACTTTGGAGCCAAGCTCACCAGGGTCCAAACTCCTTTTTCTTTTTTTAAATGTATTTCTTCCATGAGAGAAAGGCACAGAGGCAGGCACCCCCAATAGAGTCATCATTCTATCAGCCCTTCCCAGACAGCCTGAATCTTAAGCACATGTGCGCATGCTCAGAGGTCCCAGGATGTAGACCAGGAGCCCCACGTGGGTCCAGCTGCATTACTGCCACCTAGCCCAGGATTTGACTTCTGTCTATTCCACCTAACAGTTCTGAGAATCTGGCACCTTACATAAACTGTCTTGGTACTTGATGTAAACTGCATGGGTGTTTCATCTGTAAAGTGGCACTTTTGACCATTAGAGCATGACACTACTGGTTGTCTTTTTTTTTGTTTGCTTTTAGGTTTCACTATAGGGTGCATGCACTCTCTGGATAGAGAGGGAGAGGGAAAGAGAGACTCATCTCCCAGGGAGGAGGACCACACCACAATCCCCTCTCCTCCATTTCCTTACTAGGACTTTAGCCATGTGCGCACATGTGCCTGGCCTGATCTTCAAGCCACTGGGTCTGGGACTCAAACCTTGGTCAGTCACGCGGGAGACCAGTGCCTTGACCATCATGCCATCTGCTGGCACTCATGCCACCTGCTGGCCCTATTCCAAAGATTTGAATGAAATCATGCAGACAGTTTATCTTACATAATGCCGTGCTATATACTGGGTCTGTAAGTTAACTGTTCTCTTTCTTACTTTTAAATTATATTCCACTTTGCTTTGCTAACACAGCATTCTCGGGGCTTTCACATTATTAAAATTTAACACAAACTATCATTCTAGTGTTTTCTAGTGAAAAGTTAGTTTTAAGATCCCTGATTGAATGCCAAGCGATAGTGTGGAAGTTAGGAGGCTGGCTCCCACACAACCAACTGTGTGATTCAAGTCCTGGGCCCAGCAGCCTAAAAATCACACCAGATGTGTGTATGCATGAGCCCAAAATTCCAAGAGAATGGAGAAGGGATTGTGGGAAACTTTCTCACTTTCCCTCTCTCTTTCTCTTAGGTAAGCGCAAGTGCACTATAGCAAAAAAACTAAAGAAAAAAAATTCTGATCCAGACACTGAACTTCAACATTTATTGAGCAATCATTACATGGCAAGCACTGCACTAAATGCCAGTGGTATAAAGATAAACAAAATACAGTAAGAAACCAGATGTATGAATAAATACAATTATGTCAAATGCAAGACACAGAGGTAGCACAAAAGAAATAATCAGATCTACCTAAGGTCTGCTGAAGGTTCACAGAAAGCAAGAGTTCATTAGGTAGAGATTATAGGGAATGAAAGAAACAGCAGTGTAGAAAACTTGGAAACTTGAGGCCAGTGGCACGCTCTTTAAGGTGGCTGGATCCCACTCGACCAACTGTGTGGTCCTGGACCCAGTGACTTGAAAAACACACCACGTGTTTATGCATGGTGCCCAAAATCCTGAGGAAAATGGAGAATAGGTTGCAGTGTGACTATCCCCTCAGAGGGTGCTTTCTCATTCTCTCTCTGTTTCTGTCTGGTGAATACATGTACCCTAGAACAATTTTTTTTTTAATTGGAAACTTTAAGTAGCTCAATGTGGATAAAGGATAAAGTTCATGTCTGATGAAACAAGCAGAAAGACATGCCCAGGGATTTGCCCTGTCCCACCTGCAGAAAATGAGTTACACTGAAGGATTTTTCAGCTGGGCAAAAACACGAGATCTGCATTTTTAAAGATTGCTGGCAGAGTGGACTGAAGAAAGGGTCTACTGCAACAACACAGCTGAAATACAGCTAGGGTTTCATTTAAGGCAGCAACAGTAAGCATGGCGAGGAAGAATGAATACAGAAAATGTTAAAGAGGCAATAACCATAAGGTTGAGTGGGTGATTACTGAAAAGTACGTGAACAGGAGTCTTGGATGACTCTCTGGTCTCAGACTTGGGTGGGGATATCATTAATTAGCACAGGTAATAACAGTGGTGCCCAGCCTCCATTTCAGCCCTGTAATCCCTGCCTCCTAGTATTCATGCCCTTGTGTGAACTGAGATGTGAAGCAACCACGAGTGAGCTTGAGATGACTGCTACCCCAGCTGATAGCTTGACTGCAAGGTAGCGAGAGCCCCAGAGCCAGAACCACCCAGCTAAGCTGCTACCAGAATCCTGTCTCTCAGAAACTGTATTAAATAAGGGCTTGTGTTACTCCTCAGTACTGGGGTAATTTGTTATTAGCAACAGATTACTAATGGAGATGTCAGTCCCTTGGAGTGCTGCCACAACCAACACCAAACACATGGGAACGGCTTTGGAACTAGGGGACAGGTTTTGAGAAGGGTAGATGAAACCCAAAAGGTCATTCAAAAAACTGTTACTAGAAGCCTCATGGTCTTAGATATGGATGTAGAGATGAGGACAGGGAGAAAAATGAGACAGTGTTATTGGACTGGAAGAGAAATCCTTGTTATACAGAGGCAGAAAGTTTGTCAGCACTGTTGCCTGCAGTTATGTGAATGAACTGTAGAAAGTATACCTCGTCACTAAGTGATGAAGATAAGATTTCCAACTAGTGCTCAAAGTGTCACCTGGCTTTTCCTTGCTGTTTATTTAAGAAAAAAGATCACCGAAAGGAGGACTGTTCAAGAAGGGCTAGGATGTTGATGATTTTCAAAATTCTCAGCCTTGGGGCCAACAGGCAGTGTGGTGGTTGAGGGTGCTGGACTCCCATGTGGCCGACCACGGTTCGAGTCCCAGACCTGGTAGCTTGCTTTCTCTTTCTCTCTTCCCCCCCCTCCCTCTCTCCCTCTCCCCCTCTCTCTCTCTCTCCCCCCCCCCCCCTCTCTCCCTCTCTCTCTCTCTCTCTCTCTCTCTCTCTCTCTCTCTCTCTCTCTTTCTCTCTGTCCCTCTCTGGTCAAATCAAAATAAATAAATAAAATAAAATAAAAAGTTTGATAAAGTAATTTTTAAAAATTTTCAGCCTCTCCAGATGTAATATTTAGGTTGTCTAGAAAGTCACTGTGCATTTATATATAAAAAATACAGAAAAACACATCATGACTTTCCCGATGACCTAAAACAATGCTAAAATTAAGAAATAACTTCTGAGGGAAGAGCAATCCAAGGCATCAGGGAAACATGGTCCAAAGATAAAAATCAAAGATAGGACTAAAACCTTCAGACTCGAAAGGATCAAAGGGATTATTCAAACAAAAAGTGCTAGGAAAAATTATGGGTGTGCCTCTGGAGCTCAATTAATCACTCAGTGGAGCTCAAGTGAGAACATTACGTCAGCTGAAGCCCCAAGTGCACACTGGCTTATTTCAGAGATTGATGGGTAGTGTTTTAGACTAATGAAATGGAAGTCAGTAAAATTCTCGAAGAGCCAGTTCTCAGAAGAAATACATATGCGGAAACATGGCCAGCGTGAACTGAAGGGGAGAAAGACAAAAGAAGTCTTTGACCATCCCCCCAAATTATATTAGGAAAAACACAGAGAAAGCTAATCAGCTGTAAAGCACACGCTTTGGGGGGATAACTCAGAGGGTGGACAGAGCCACGGAGAATTATCCTAGGCCTTGAGACCTAATCAAGAACATTCAACATCTGCTTTGCAATTTGAGAACTGTTATGGACCAGTGACTCTTGTGTCTCCCATGTCCCCCTTGAAAAGAGAGATGTCTACGCAGTTACCCTACATTTGTCCCACACTGGGTGTATGTGGGCAGACAATGTCTCTTGAGTCTCTCAGAGTAACAATTAACTGTACTCAAGGAGCTGTGCTTAAAGAACTCTACCGGATACCACTAGGGCACACCTAGACCTGACGTACAGGGTGAAATTCCAAATTGTGAGCAACTCCTGTAAGGGGATCACACTTAAGGGGACCACAGGAAAGAGT